TAATGCCTCTCTTTAAATCCATTAGGCTTTATTTATTTATTTTTGTTTTGTGGGCCACACCCAGCAGTGCTCAGCATTCCTGGCTTTACACTCAGGAATCACTCCTGATGGACGAGGATACCGTATGGGATGGGAATTGAACCTGTCAATGTCTTGTGTAAGGCAATGGCCCTACCTGCTGTACTATGTCACCAGCCCCTGCATTGGGTTTTAATAGCAGATGCAAAGAATGAGTTCTGATCTGAAATCATGACCCACTCTGGCCCTTCTGGTAGGCTGAAACTTTCACTCTACCGCCAGAGATTTGTAAAGGCCAATGGGATACCACTACAGGAAGGCCAGCTCTAATAACATTGAGCCCCTATGAACCACCTCACTCTCCTCCCTGCTCTGGGCTTGTCTGGGCACTGCCGGATGGGCCGCAGCAGTTGGTGTAGGAGAGCAGCAAGCATACATATAGGGCTTAGCAGAGAACCCAGGATAAGGCTGAATAGGGCCTGACGCGGGAGGCATTTCCCAGCCGGCCCAGGGCCAGCTAGACTTTTTAAAGTGGGGAGAGGGACAGTAGAAACGTCAGCCCACCCATTTTCTTTAGCAAAGAAAACCAAACCGTCTTCTGGGCTAAAAATACCTATTTCGAGGGTCCCCGTGCGCAGGCGGCCGGCGTTGCAGCTGCCGGCCTGGCCCGGGGAGGACTTGGCCGCGCGGCGGCCGATTACACCCAGCTCGGCTGCGATGGCTCCGAGCCGTCTGCCCTGACGTCAGCGAGGCAGCGAGTCCCGCCGCGGCGAGATAGCCAGCGCGGCCAGGCGCGGGCGCGGCGCTAATCACTCCCAGATGTCCTTAATAGCGGAGATAAAAACGGACGGAGCGGCCGGGAATAAATTTGTAATCAGGGCTCTAGCATCTGATCATCAAAGCGGCCCCAATGCGGGGAGAATTTGAGGGAATGTGTGTGTGTGTGTGTGTGTGTGTGTGTGTGTGTGTGTGTGTGTGTGTGTGTGTGTGTGGAGGGTCGTGTTTGGGGGTGAGGCGCTGGGAGGTGGATGCCGTCCTAGGAGAGGAGCTGCCTTGCGCCCCGATGGCGGCGAGAACCAGGCGAGCCGCCTCTAACTTCGGTGGGCATCTGAGTCAGAGGCGGCCTAGTCAGCCCCCAGCAGCTTTCACTCACACCCCACATCCCAGGCCACGCAGGCTTTCAGACCACCGAGACCGCGTCAGCCCGTGGCCGAGCGGACGCCTTGGTACAGGGATGTGCTCAGAGCTGTGGATGGGCAGGGATGGGCAGGGATGGGCAATTCGGTTCTAAATCCTGGGAATGGTCCCTGCTCCCACATTCCCCCTTTCTAACCACACACACACACACACACACACACACACACACACACACAAAATATCCCTCGGCCAGCCCCCTTGCTCTTAGAGGGGACTATTCCTCCTTGTCACAGTTCCTTGCAGAGCTGAGCTTCTGTGGGTGGCATGGGGAAGCTACCCGGGGGGCCTTGAACCCGAGTCCTAGGCCCCAGACTGACGCTTTCTCCTGGGTCTTCCTCTCCGAGGGCTCCACCAGGCCCAGAATCCCGCGCACCGGAGGCTCACGAGCGCCCCCTCCTCCCTCCCGTGGGTTGAGAGGGAATGGGGTTCCTTTAGATCCAGCAGTTTCTGCAAAGCCCAGCAGAGTCCAGTCCCCAGGGTTGAACCCTCTCTGAGGCATGCACTGTGTGCTTCCCCCGGAGACCGCCTCCTCTGGGCACCTACCACTAGCCCCTTTCCCAAATACAGGAGCGTAGGTTGTGACTGGAGGGGAGAGAGAGAAGGCCACCGGCCCCAGTTGCAGCACTACAGTGATTTCCTGAAAAGATGAGGGTGGTCAAGTGGCTGCAAGACAGCAGAGCACAGCCCCCAAAGACAGGACCTCTCCGGAGGAGACAGTCTCCTGCACGCACATCTCAGCCATCTGCAAGCCGCCTGGGTCCCGTTGGTGGAGCTGGAGTCTGGAAGCAGCTTGGAAGGCCCTGCTTGCTGGCTCCCAGCGGTTTGCCTCATCACCCCTTCCTGCGAAATCCACAGATGCACAGTGCACTCAGGGACCTAAAGGTAGACCCCCCAACCTGACTCCCCAACCTAAGGGACTTCACCTTAGTCTCACACTTGCTGCCCAAGTCTCAGGGAGGCTGCCCTGGGGGGGTGCCCTCTGCTGAGCCCACCTCAATCGTGGGTCAGTCAGGCATCCTGGATGAGTCCAGGTTCTCACCCCCAAGAGGGCAGGCTGGGACCGGGATGCCGGAGATCCCTGGGTCGACAGAGGAACCCACCCAGGCGATACAGTTTTGACTGAGCCCCCAGAGGGTGGCTCTGGGATGCAGAAAGGGAGAACCCAAATGAACTCGCTTTTGTGAATGAGTGTGGACCAGGAAAAACAGCCTTCAAGTTGCTGCTCAGGACCCCCACCCCACGAAAGCCTGGAGTCCACGGACTCACGCACCCAGACCGTGGGCAGAGCCCTCTCCCCTAGGGTGCTCAGGGGTTATCAGACACTCGGCCTGCGAGGCGGTCTGGGGCCAGGCCCTGACAGCCAGATCTACCATCAATTTACCTTCTGCCGCCCCAGCTTCCCATTTAGCTTTTAACGTCAAATCCTGCATTTTTGTCGGCTCCGGCCTGTCTAGAGTGCTTGTGATTTCGCTGCAGGAGTGATTGCTTTTAACAAAATGGCAGCAACCACATTATCCGAGCAATTAAAACAGAGGCCTTTTAGCCAGTCCGCAAGGCAGTAGTTTGGGAAAGGGGGAGGGATCTTTTCTTTTCTTTCTTTCTTTCTTTCTTTCTTCCTTCCTTCCTTCCTTCCTTCCTTCCTTCCTTCCTTCCTTCCTTCCTTTCTTTTTTTGAGCAAGGGGGTTAGAAAAGAAACAAATGCATAGGTACAGAGAGCAAGGAAGCGCTGCAGAGAGTTGGCTGGGATACTGAGGAGCCTTGAGTAGTTTGGGATTTCTAGGAGGCTGGGGAAGGCAAAATCCGGGGTGTGTTGTGGGTTCGAGTGTTTAGCAAATTGAGAGTGCACACCCAGTTTCAGTCTCTTGGGGTTGGGAGTCTGTTGGTTGCCAGGCCAGATGGGGTTTCCAGCAGGCTGGAAGGACCAGGAGGTTTGGGGTGCTGGGGTTCGTGCTGAAGCAGAAGCAGCAGCTCAGAGTGGAGGGAAGCTGGGCCTGGCCCAGACAAACAGGATGGGTTTCTGGAACCCGGGTTGAAAAGAGTGGAGAGTGGAGAACTGCCCCAGAGCTGGAGACAGGGGTGCCCCGGGGTCTTCTGATTTCTCTCTACTGGTGTTTAACAATCCAGAAAAAGGGTTCAATCAGCACAACTCCGTGGAGGCCCAGATGGCAAAGATCAGCTACCCCCGTTAAGCACAGGCTCACAGGCGTGGGGCAGGTGACGCTGGGCTGCTTCCAGCTTTACAGAACTTGCCCGCCCCCACCTTCAATGCTCTGTGACTTCGGAGCCTCTTTCTTTCACCCTGGAGAATCGGGCGTCTTTCTCAAGAGCGGATTAAAAGGCGCAAAAGGCGTCGGGAGGCAGGAGAGGGAGGGAGTCAAACCGATAGGGATCCCGGGAGGAACAGAAAATCTGGGCGCGCCTCCCTCCGCCCTCCCACCCCTCACCCCCCAATGCTATAAACAAAGGCAAGTGTCTGTAAACTCTGCCCCGCGCCCACCGCGTCCGCCCAGCGCCGGCTGACCCGAGGGGAGAAAGTTCAGATCACTTTGGCCGAGTTGTTCTAACCCCTCGCCCTCCCATTGTCAGCTGCCTGCAGCGCTCCTGGCCGGTCTCTCCCCCGGCACTGGCGAATTCACCCTCTGCGGGCTCCGGGTGGGGACCCGCCAGGCGTGGGCGGCCGGGAGTGCTGCGCCCCGAGCCGAGGTGTGAACGTCACGTCACTCCGAGTATGTGCCCCTGAGCTGGAAACCCTCTGGCCAGCCTCCTTAAAGTCAGATTTATAAACGGCGGTGTTTCGGGAAACAAACCGCTTTTTAAAGTATGTTTCACCTTTTATTTCCCTCCTTCCACCCCTCCTCCTCTTCCTCCTCTACCCCCCTCTACCCTCAGTCTTTTAGAGCACAACAGGTTCTCTGGTTCCTAGATTCTGGCCAAGCCTAGGGCCGAAGGAGGCCTTGGGGATTTCCTCCCCGGAGGTCCGGGGGGCCGCCAGGAGAACCACCTCGGGTGGGCTGAGCTCTCCGGGACTTCGGGTGCTGCTTGCTCGGCTGGCCTGGGGCCGGGAAGACTTCAGACACAGTTAATTGTGCGTCTCTCCCCTGAGCGCCTTGTAAATCTACCCCTTCTCCCCACCCTTTTAAAAGCACGATCTTGTTCAGATCTCGTACTTGACGTCAAACTCCTAGTTACCGAATCAGGGACTTCCCTCAGCCCCCCAAGAGCCTCTTCCTTTCCCCTTCTAAGCCAGCTCGGATGAAAATGGCCCCAGGAAAATTACTAGCAAAATAAATAATGATGATAATGATAATAATAATAATAATAACCACCATCACCACAACACAACACGCAAACCCCTCTTTCCCTTGGCTGTCTTTTTCTTGGACCAAAGCCCTGTATTTGAACACAGACTAGACTAATTTCTGGGGCTGCGATTAGATCTGGGGTTCTAGCTCTTCACACCTCCTGCACTCAACATGCTTTCTGGGTTCCAAAACCCAAGTCTCCAGAAAGAGAAAAGTCTTCAGGAAAGCAAAGGGTTCTTGTACCTTCTGCGCCCACTAGCCAAGCCTTTTCTTCAAGTCTAGATCCTCCCTCCAGAGGCCCCTGAAGCTTGCCCTGGGGAACGGGGAGAGGAAAGGAGGCCCAGGACCCGCCGGGCCCCAGCCCACGCAGGATTTCCACCAAGCCCGCATCCCTTTTAGGGAGCCCCTCATGCTGGAAGGTTGGGGAGCTCACGTTGATGACTGGTTAGAACCATTGACTCTTTTAAATAAAGCTAGAGGCAATCGTGATAATTTAGTTTACTTCGGAATATTTTAAATATTATGAAAACAAGAACAGCTTTGTTTTCAAAACTCTTTCTTGAGGTATCAACCATTAAAAGATAGGGGGGTTGTAAAAAAAACACACAGTGGTTTATTGAATACTTACAACGTTTACACCTTCAATATTAATTAAATTCCACTTAATTTTTTTTTTCGAGGACGGAAGTGCACACAACAAGTAGCTGTTGGAAACATTTTCGAAGAGGGAACGACCACAGATGAAACACAGCACTAGATACTGACCCCCAACGGATATGTTAGCGCCCCTTTTTTTCTGAAATAAAACTTTATAATCCCCAGGAATATTTATATCCAAAGGTCAGGTATTAAAGATACACTTCACATACACACTATTGTCCGCTGTCTTTGATCTGGTTAGGGAGGGGGGAGACCGGGAGAGGGGAGCACGCTGGTGTCTACACAGCCAGAGGTAAACGTTCACGCACACAATCTAGAAACGAAAGGATCCCTTACCACACGCGGGAGTGTCCTCTTCATATTAAAATATGGAATGCTTTTCTTCAAATATCCACTTTTTTGTTTTTTTTGTTTTTTGGAGGGGGTGGTGGGGAGCAAAGAGAGGGTAGGCAAATTGCACATAAATAAACCGGATGATTCCAAAGGCAAGAAGTCCTGGAGCCGAGCGGGGAGAGCTTCTCCGTAGTCCCGGGTCTGCATCGGCTTCCCGGCGCTCTCTCCTCCTCCTCCTCCTCCTCCTCCTCCTTCTCCTCCTCCTCCTCCTCCTCACTGCTTAAGCTCTAGGGCCCAGACGTGCTGCGGCCAGCCCGTCCGGCCTTTGGTTTTCTTGTCGGTGCTGCTCACTGTGCTTTTCAAAATTTCATTCTGGGCAGAGAGGAGGCGAAGGGGAGAAAGGCGGAGAGACAACATCAGAGAGCGGGTTCCCCCGCCACCCGCAAGCCTCCCTCGGCTCCGAGGAGCCGGCACCGGGGCGAGGCGCGAGGGTTTCCAGCCCCGGCCCCAGGCCTCCGTGCTCCCGCAACGTTCGACTACTGTATCGGCAAGTTTATAAACAACTTGCCCGTTTGCAAGTCGTTTATGGAGGAGCTGCCCCCCCCACCCCAACTCCAGATGTAGGGGAGCGAGCGAGCGTCAGCGCCAAATCTGCTTTCCCTGTGTTTTCCATCGCAGCCCTGGACACAAGCTTTAGGGAAGCCCCGGGAACGTCGCCCGCGCTGGCCTGGGCGCCTCAAGCCTCAGCTCTCAGCCTCCCGCTCCCAGAGGGCTCTGCAGGTCTCGGTCATTAAGCGGTGACCAAAGCCCACGGCTCCGAGGAAGAACACCCTCCACAAATAGAATTATCTCCCAGGCCCTGCTAAGTGATAGCTTTCTCAGAAGCTCATGGAGCTGGTTAAGGAAACTTCCATTTTCAGTGGTAACTCTGTGTTACTTTTCAACAGAGTTAAAAATAACAGTGACCAGAGTCATGGTTATATTTTTATTATTGTATGTGTGTAGTCTTAAACAGTCTGTGCTCATGCCAGCACTAGAAATACCCAGGCTTTTATATGCATCTGGAAAACTGCATTTAAACTCATCGCCACCCAGAGAAACTGGAGCTGCCTTTGGACGTTAAAGGTACTTATTTTATGCTTCCATTTTCCCCCAGCATAGTAAGGAGAACCCTAAAAACTCCCTTAGAATTGGTAGTATGCCCCTTCACAAGGGGGAATGCAACTGGTATCATAATAATTGCCACTGGGTGCTGATCAATCACTTATTCTAGAACTCTCTTTAAAGCAAGATCACATTGTAGGCCAAAGGGAGGCTTTAAGAGCTTGGAATGAGGAGCCAGCAGCAGCGGGAAATCAAGTCGGACCCAGAGCCTGCCAGGGTCGCCCTAGGCGTCTGGGGGAGCAGAGATACGAGGGAGGAAAACAGCCCACGCCGAGCGCCTGTCTGAACCTCCTTCTCCAGGCTGACACCCTCAATCTCCTCGGCTCCCGTGTCCCTCACCAAAGCGGTGCCAGCGTCGGGGGACACAGCCCGAGAGTGCAGAGAGCCGTTGCTCAAACAGGCTGGGTGAAACTGAAGCGGCGGCTCCCGCCCCCGCCCCCCTCCCATTCCCGACCCCAGCGCCCACTTCCCCAGCGCCCACCGCAGCCCCCCACTGCCCGCTCGGGTACTGACCAGCTCCTTCTTCCGCTTCTCCTCTTTCACATCTGTCTTTTTGATCTCCGCCTTGAAGGCCTCCGCCTCGCCGTTCTGGTCGTCCTTGGCCAGGAGGTCCATGAGGTAGGCGATGTAGCTGGTGGCCAGGCGCAGCGTCTTGATCTTGGAGAGCTTGGTGTCGGCGGGCACGTTGGGGATGCACTCGCGCAGCTCGGCGAAGGCGCTGTTGATGCTCTGAGTCCTGCGCCGCTCCTTGCGGTTGGCGGTGCCCCGGCGCTTCACGGGGCGCGGCCCCCCCAGGCCCGGGGGCCCGGCGCCCGGAGGCACCCCCCCGTAATGGGAGTGGTCCAGGCCGGCGGCGCCGCTGGCGTACTCGGGGCTGTAGGACAGGGCCATGCTGTAGTCGGGGGGCGACATCTCGGGGTGGCCGATGAGCCAGCCGTGGAAGTAGGGGTTCTCCTCGTGGCCGCAGCGGCTGGCGGCGGCGGCGGCAGCGGCGGCGGCGGCGGCGGCGAACGGGTAGCCCTCATGGTGCACCACCGGGTGGTGGGGGAAGCCCCCGACCAGACTCATGTCGCCCCGCCACGCGCCCCCGGCCCGGGCCCCGGCTCCGGCGCTCGGCGGCCTCCCCCAGCCCGCGGCCCCCAGCGCCCGGGCGCCCGGGCCGGCCCGGCAGCCGCACAGGGGCCCGCGGCAGCCCGGGCCCGGCTCAGCAGCGCCGCGGCCGTCGGCTCCCCATGGGGCGCGGCCAGCCGGCCCCGGCACCGTGCGCCCCCCGCCGCCGCCCCGCGCTCATGCACGGGACCCCGGGCCCCGCTCGGCCGCCGCCACCTCGGGGCGACCCTCCCCTTCCCGCCCCGGCCCCTCCCCCCCACCCCAGCCGCCCGTCTGGGCCCGCGGGCGCTGGTGGTGGTTTGAATGAAAACGGTGGTGACGGTGCGGGCGGGTGGCGGCGTGGGGTCCCGGGACGGGATTTTGGCCGAGAGGCAGCGTCCTCGCTCGCTCCCCCCCGGCTTTCAGAGAGGTCCCAGGGCATCCATGTCCTCAGAGCCTCAACTCTTCCTCGCGGGGGGCGGGGGACGGATCTGGGGGCGCTGCAGGCGCGGGGTGGTGGCGAAGGCGGGTCTGCGCGGAGGCCCCGGCAGCTCCCGGGCGGCGGCGGCGGCGGCGGCGGTGCTCCGGGGAGGCTGGACGTCGGGAGGGGAGCCAGCGGGTTTGCCCGGCAAGATCTCCATGTACAGCTACATGTTTAGGGCCGCTCGGGTTAATATATGTCGTCAGAGGCTCCCCACGCCAATCCCGGGGCGGCGGGGGCGGCGCCTCGCGCTCTCCGCAATAAAACTTTTTGATGTTCTCCTTGCTAATTGTCGAGGTCCTCTCCCAGGATTGGCTGCCCCTTACTAACCATAAGATAATTAAAACCGAGGGGGGGGGCAGGGTTAAAAAAACTTTTTTATCAGCCAGAGGTTAATGCAAGTGTTTAACAGATGCGTCACTATGAAAATATTCCCCACCCCCACCCCCACCCCCAGCCCCCACTCTCAAATTTTGAAGCATCGCAAACCAGGTACAGTATCAGTACGCTTTTTTCTTCCTCGCCCCCACCTTCCCGACTCTCAAGAACAACATCTCCAAAGGCATCACGGTTTTCCCCCCAAATGTTGGGTGGGTGACGCCGGTCGGGACTCGCGGCCCGGTGCAGTCTGGAGTTGGGCAGGGGAGGAGAGCGGGGGTGGCAGGGTCTTGGGGCACCCCCCCCACAGAGAGGCGGTAGGGGGTCTGGGCATGAGTGGGGACTTGAGTTCGGGCTCGGGCGTGTGTGTGTGTGTGTGTGTGTGTGTGTGTGTGTGTGTGTGTGTGTGTAGGGGGCGCTGCTTCTGGGCACAGGTTGGAAACGCGCGTCTCCACTCGGAGCCCGGGTCTCCACTGACCCAGTAACCCGGGCTGGGGGCGTCGGGGAGGGTAAGGTTCACCGCCGCTGCCTTCGGAGAGGAGGGGGCGGCTGCGACCCCACCCCACCTCCCCCGCACGCACCGTGCAGCCAACCGGGAACGTTCCTGGGTCCGGGTCCGGCCGGGCCGCCCGGAGCGGCCGAGACCTGGACCCACAGTTTCCCAAGCGCGGTCACCTCGATTCTCCGAATCCGCCGAGCGGCCGGCATCGGGGTTCCGCTGCTTTTAACGAGCCTGTTTGGTAAGTAACCGAATATTTTTTACAGCGTGTTCAGAGCTTATTTTCCAGTTTTTATGAACAAACATATAAATACATCTCTGCATTCCTGCCTCGCCCATAAAAGCGGGCATCTGTGGAGAGCGGCTTTAGTTATCGGAGGGGAACCATTAAACTCAGGTTTAAGAGGCAGGCCCGGAGGACGGCTCGTGGATGTTTAGACTGCTGGCTGCGGGGATCTTGAACGCATTAGAACGGAAAATGCATCTCCCACTCGTAAGTCACCGGGCCGCGGGGCACCGAGGCCCGCGGCGTCCGGCTTTCCGAGCTGGCTCTCCAGAGACTAGGGTGCGGGTGGGAGGCTGGAGCTGACGTGACCCTCCCACACCCCCTGCTTGCAGCTTCGAGGGGAGTCTGAGGTGTCTGAGGTGCAGAGGACGATCCCACCCGCTGGGAAGTGGCCGGCGGTTGAGGCAGAGAGCAGCAGCGAGATTCGCCTCTGCTTTAGGCATCTCGCCTTGGTCATCCTCTTCCTCTTAGAGACCCGCAGATCTGGGGACTCCAGGCCCCAGAAAGGGAGTCGGGTGCTGATCCCCAGGACTCGACTAGAAGTGCCTTTCCCTCTTGGCTGGGTGCTCTGCGGGCACTGTGGCAGGGTTTGGCTGACGGCTAGCGCAAAAGGCAGGGTGCAGAGGATTCGGCGCTACTTACTGGGATTCGGCGGAGTTTTTTTTTTATTGCCAACCGTCAGCCCAAAGCGCTGCGATGTGGTTCAGGTTTGAGCCGAGAGACAAGGGTTGGGGGGGAGCTCGGAGAATTTTGCATTCTGACCCGGGACTCTTCAAGGTTCAATCTGTGCTCTCCAAGGGATCAGAATTTTCTGGAAGTTCCTACACAGAGTCTTAGGGTAGAGAACCACTAGGAGTAGCTATCCCACCCCAACCCCCGATTTGTTGGTAAGTAGTGGGGGCCTTTTTTTTTTCCAGGATCAGAGCACAAAATGTGATCTAGAGCTTGGAACCTCCAACTTGGAATGAGTCCACAGCTGTGAGGCGAGGCACAAGGGGAGTCGTTTTAAGACTGTTCTTTAAGGAAAGAATATAGGTAGTGTGGTCTGGGCCATGTTTACATTTTCACTGGGGAGGTCAAACTTGAATGTGTAAATACTGGTAGTTCAATTCTCTGACATTTGATACATCAAAAAAATCTGTTTATAAAAACATATCTAGGCCTTCAGAGCAGGTAGAGCCCGTTAGAAGGATGCAGCCAGGCTGGGAAAATTCAGGGGGAAATGTTGGCAGGCTGCTTTCAAACCCGGAGGGAGTTTTTGGGAAGTGAAGGGAGGGCCAAGAGGCCATGCAGACAGGCAGAGGGCTGAGCTGGGGACTGGGATGTGATCCCAGAGAAGTGAATGGCCTTCAGTACAAAGATGTCAGAACGAGTCTTTCTCTTGCTCTTCTGGTTGAAATAATTATGGTTGAAATAAAAAAGGGGGAGTTGCCTTTTTTGGGGTGTCCAGGTATTAGGCAAGTGCTAAAAGAGATGAACGTGATCCAGTAAGAAGCGCAGAGGTGGAGATGTGACTATGAACTTGGGTTCTCGCTGGTGGTGCCATTGTCAGGGGTCTGGGAGGCGTCTCTGAGAATGGGGTCTTGGAGCCCCCAAGGGCACAGGGGTTCCTTTTAATATCCTTAGTGGCAGCTCTGACTCACAGATCCGCTCCACCCCAGAGGCACCATCCAAGACTGATCTGTTTGGGTCCTCAGTCTGGGAGATGGCTGAGCATCCTGCTTGGGAAAAATGGGAAGGAAGTAGAGGTACCTGGTCAAGTTTGCTCCCAGGCTGGGTCACCTGTGTCTCTTGGGCATGGTGCAAAGAAGACAATGGAGGAGAAAACAGGAAGGAGGAGGGTAGAGTTCTCTGGGCTTAGATGTGGGGACCCACCCCCACCTCCCCAGATGGACTGTGCTTAGAATGTGGCCTTGGTGCCAAGCTGCCCAATAGGGCACATAGTTTGAATCAAAGGCCTGAGGGGCTGGAAGGCTCTAGGCAGCGGCCAGGAAAGGGCTTCCTTCCCTTTTTTCACAGAGCTGAGGGCCCAGCCTTAAACAGCTGCCTGCACAGGTCAGCCCAGAAACTCGCTTCACAGGGGAGCAGCCTTGATTTGATTTGGGAGGTGGGGTGGGAAGAGATAGGGATTCTCTGCTAACCCTTGATCTTCACTGGGGCCCATGGTGAACCCTCAAGCCTTCAGATTTCATCTGCATTCAGTTAGGCATTCAGAGCTGGTTTGGACATTTATTTTGTTCCCGTGTCTCTTATCTTTCTCCCTTTACTCCCACACCCATCCATGGACAAGACTCCAGGAGCATGGGAGATGCTTGGCAATCAGTATTTTTGTATGTGTATGAGGTGAGTTATTGCTTTTTGAATTAGCTTGGTTAAAAGTAATTTTTTATTTTTATTTTAATTTTTTTTTAGTTTCAGGATGAAAGCCAGGGTTTCATCCATGTATTGTTCAGCTGAACTGCATCCCCGGCCCTAACTATTATTATCCTTTTTATTTTTAAAAAAGCTTCCCTCTGTGTTTCAAGCAAACACCCGTCGTTTTTTGAGATACTTATTTTCGCGGCAAGAGCAGCTTGTCTCTTGTGTTTTGCTCACAAGAACTCAAAATAAACTGGATCTGAAAAGAACCAGGCCAGAGGGCCATAAACACACAGTTTACATCTCCAGGAATAATGCTCAAGTCCCTCCATCGTTTTTCAACTCTTGTTTTACCTTTTTTTCTAACCTAGCATAGTTGAAGTGAGTCTGAGCTGCCCCTTAAATACATGTAAGCTTCTTAGATGAAGAGATCAAAAATACCTGAGAACTGCAGAAAGAACATCACAAGCACAGATTGTGCAGGAAGGGGTGTGTGTGCCCCTGACATGGGACCCCTGCCTTACCCATGCCAGGAGGGAGCTTCTTGAGACCCCCAATAGCCTTGAATTCCATACTAGGTGGCTATTGCATCATTTAGGTGCTAAACACCTTTTCCCAGAACTTTTCCAGTACCTAGAACTCTGCCTGCTGTCTGAGTGGTAGAAAGGCTTTTCCCTCAACTGCCTCCCCCTCTGGGAAAGAGCTGTGTATAGGCCGGCCACAGAAGTGGCCCAGAAAGGGCTTATGCTCTCAAATGCAGTCTACAAAACAGAGGCAAGACGAAAAAAAGCTGCCTTGGGTGATGAAGAGCTTTCTTTTGTTTGGATTTTTTGGGTTCTCTGTGTGGAGGCATTTAGTGAGCCCCTGTCCCCTCCCCTGCCTCTTCTAGGGTAGATATGGAGAAGGCGGGGTGTCAGGATAGGGAGAGACCCAGCTGCCGAGGGGCCTATGGAGGGGTTGATTGCTTCTGGCTCCTCCAGTCCAGTTTTGATTAGGGAACCTTTACATTGTAGAGAAAAGCAGGACTTGCTTGGGGCCTGAAAAACCCTCCCCCTTCAATTCTCCCCCCCACCCTTCTTTTTTTCTCATCCCTCTCCTCCTTCCCGTCTTCTATCTTTCCCTTCTTTGTAATCTGCCAACCAACAGTGCTGGA